CTGGCTGGAGTTAAACCACGACAAAGCTCCAGCCACTCTTCAGTATCAGTTCAGGAGCAACCACAATTCCTGGGGAAAAAACAGTCCATGATTATGTTATTTAAAAAACCATACCTACAGGTACCCTTCTGAAGACACTGAGAAAGCAAAAATTACCTTTGGCACAGCTCAGCTCATCACCTCTGTCAATAAGAAGGTATCTGGGACTTTCAGGAAACCATGGCAGGAATAACAGTTGAGCAAATGCTGGGAAACAGCTGCTGGATAACAACAGAGGCCAATACATTTCTCCACCTAATAATTCCCTGAGTGAGGTATGGAAAAAGAAAAACCACAAGTAATGAGCTGTTGGTGACTGTTCAGAAGACTTCTGGGAGCAAGATGATTCTTCTTTGAGAAAAGTTCCCTTACAACCAGTTACCCATGTCTTGTGAATCTCAGCAGAAAGAGGTTGGGAAAATATTTTCCAGACACTCTGAAATCAGGTTTCCTCAGTGACTTTACTGCTGCTCATTGCTACGTTGGTCCTACGCATGACTTTCAGGTTTGCCAAAGCAGGGTTTTCTAGCAATGCAGGAAAGTAAAAGCATACGGACTTCACCGTAAGGTTGGCAGCAGCATTTGCTTTTGAGAATCGTACACTGATTTAGGATAGAAAGGAACCCAAAGTCATCTGATCCCACCTCCCATTCAGAATTGATCTAATGCTGCATTACCTAGAAAGGAATCATTAAAACTGGTACAGTTAGGATATGTGATGTGGGCGATGTAAACTTGTTAAAATAGGGAGTGTATTGCATTCTAAATACTGACCCCAGATTCTGCAGTCCGAAGTTTATGTTCTACTTATGTTGTAGCACCTCACACCCAAAGCATCTAGTAAAATCAGTTAACTCAGACGCTAATAATAAGGAAAAAGAGAGGGACAGCGAAAAAACAGATAACGTGCTGTTACTCAGGGTACTAGCAGCTGCTCTTAGGGCAGTGGAAAGCTTCTAGCAGACTTGAAAGAAGAATGTAATCTTGAGACTGTGCAGTCTCTGCTCTTGGCACTTTTTAAGATCCAACTGGATCAAGTCCTCAGCAGCTTGCTCTGATCACACAAGGGCCAAAAGCAGCAGTCGTGCTACCATACAGAAATTACGAGTCCTTTGCTCTCCAGTGGTATGAACGTCCACTGCCTCCAGCAAGAAACTGGCAGAAAATATGAACTCAGCATAAATGCTTTTTCCTGTTTTCCTGATGCTGTCCTGGCTGGCCCATCTAAACTGAGAACACTTCCCTGGGAGATGGCAGAGAGGGTTTGCAGTTGTAAGAATCAGGTGACAAAAGCAGGGTTTTCTTCTTACAGGCAGACATTCTGCGTGAAGCTGATTCACTAATGCTACAGTGGCCACAAGGAATGTTTTGCAGGGAACTGCAGGGAATTCTTTACATGCAATTAACCCAAGGCAGAAAAAGAAAATGCATTTCTAACCTCAAACCAATGATTTGTCCTGTCAGAATCCCCCCAGTCAGAAAGATGGAAGTCCCCATGGCCATGCCACCTCTAAGATGTTTTGGGGCAACCTCCCCAATATACAGAGGTTGCACACAGATCCCAACACCTGCAAGTAAAAGAAGAAACGTTTTCCTATTAACAGATTTTGCTTTGAAAAGAGTTACTGAACCAAAACAGACAGGATTAGGGTAGTTAATTTCCTATTACTTCAGCTGCCTTCAGATTCCAAATGAGACTTAGACCGCAGAACATTTCTGTCATCAGATCTACAAAGCAGCATACAAACACATATCATAATACCTAAGGAATCAGTAACAATAATTTACCACTCACCATGGTTTATTGAAAGTAGGAATAGGAAATCATTCACCTGCATTTATGCCAATCAAAAACCTTCCAGCAATCAGTAACTCAAACAATCCTGTAGGAAAACTGATCCCCATTAAAATGGAGGCCAGTATTGCTATAACATTATTCATCAGAAGAGCTCCTTTCCTAAAGAGGAGGAAAAAAAAACCCAAACAAACCAAACATTAAGGAAATCTGCAATAACATAATTTTTTACAAAAGCTTCCCTTTCTGGCAATATGGGGAAAAAATGGGCTTTATACTGAAGAAGCATGCTATTCACTGGAAATCCAAATATCTGATACAACTATTTATTCATATTAAAAAAAAAAAAAAAGTCTGAACATGAAGGTAATGGATAAACAGGACAGAAATTCCTGACCAGGTAAGAGTGGGGTTTTCTTCACTTAGGCTGATCTACACAGAAGACGCAGCATGTCCTTTGGAACAAACTGTAAAATTCTATTAAAGAACTCTGCTTTGAAATGAAAACCATTTATGGTAACCTAAGGTACATTTTCTCCCACTCTTTTCCCATTTATTTACTTCATATTCCAGTGAGAAAGTAGGAAAAGAAAACAAGCAGCTACGTGCCTGCTGCTGGAACTCACCTGCCCAGCCGAATGGCCATGCTGCCTCCAATGAGGGCTCCACACAGACCTCCCAGTGAAAATACCGAAGCAATGACAGACCAAATAAAAGTCAGCAAATCGGGATTTAGGTCCTTGTGGTAACGACTAGCCCAGGTTTCATTTAAGAACCTGTGTATATGCTGTAATGGAAAAGAACCATGAATGTGTAGCATTGTGTGTAGCTCTACAGCGCAGCACTATGAATACTTAGCCCCTCAATCCTGGAAATCAGTTCTGGGAGCTAACAAAAGAGAGCATCTTAGTTGTACTGTATTAAAAACATCACTGACTAGCAGAATCTTCCTTGAGCACAGTACCATTTCCCACTCCCCGTACATCTCAAAGAGTGCTGAGCAGCTTTGCTTTCCCACCCTGCCTCGGGAGAGGCTGTATTCCACGGCAGGAGCAACACAACCTCCCCGCATACTGCTAACAAAGAGCTTTGAGGTCTTTCTGAACGAAGGGGGGGCAGGTTGGATGGGGAGGTCCTGCTGTTCTTCAGGAACATCTTGGACAACGCTCCCATGAGCTAAAAAATTTTACTGTAGGAGAGTCATTCTGACACCCGATTTACCTCTTCCTGCCTTAGTGTAATTCAACAATTCATAGCAAAATCCCCTTCTGCAACCCTAATCCTCCTTCGCCTTTTTTACAATATTCATGTGTCAGAACTTTTAAGGGGTTTTTCTGCATGCTTGGTTTCCTAACATCTATCTTCAGAAACTTTCCAACTGACACGCATCTGTAATCAGAGGCTCCTGTTCTTTGCCAGCAAAGACTTAACAGAACAACAAAATTCCTGGAGTCTGTTTCCCGCATATTACATGTTCTTTCACAAATGGTTTACTTGAACCTTTATAAAGAGCATACAATGCTGTAGCAAATTCAGTCTTCATAGTTTCGCAAGAAAATAAATCAGATGACAGCAGAAAATGTTATCACTCCCTTTCACAAGACCATTAGCTCAGATCCTCGAGTCATCCACAAAATATGCAGAATCCTCAAGGCCATGGCAATGGATGCGAAAATAAGTAGATGAAAATCACAGACTGGTTTGGGTTGGAAGGGACCTTAAAGATCATCTACTTCCAACCCCCCTGCCATGGGCAGGGACACCTTCCACTAGACCAGGTTGCTCCAAGCCTCATCCAGCCTGGCCTTGGACACTTCCAGGGATGGGGCATCCACAGCTTCTCTGGGCAACCTGTCCCAGTGCTTCACCACCTTCACAGTAAAGAACTTTTAATCTAAATCTACGTTCTTTCAGTTTAAAACTGTTACTCCTTGTCCTGTCACTACAGGCCCTTGTAAAAAGCCCCCCCCAGCTTCCTTGTAGCCCCTTCAGGCACTGGAAGGTGCTATAAGGTCTCCCCGGAGCCTTCTCTTCTCCAGGCTGAACACCCCCAACTCTCCCAACCTGTCCCCATTATTAACATGCTTAAACTTTTGGTCAGCCCTGAATTACTCAGGCAACTGGACTAGATGTAGGTCCCTTCCAACTGCAAAGTTCCGTTCCTTCATACGAGAGGAATCTGCGCTCGCAGTGAAAGTGCGTTTGGCCTCTTGGCAGTTAGACAAGACACCTCCGTGACTGTAAAACAACCCTGTGAACACGAGACGGTGCTTTACCTGGGTGGGTGCGTTGATAATGGAAACATTATACCCATACTGAAAGGTTCCTCCAATTCCAACAGCACAAACAGCCAGAAACAAGGTGCAGCTGGGGAACTAGAGAACAGAAGAGAGTAAAGGGCATGAAAAAAGGGTCTTGAACCCACACACATAGAATCATAGAATGGTTTGGGTTGGAAGGGACCTTAAAGATCATCTAGTTCCAACCCCCCTGCCATGGGACACCCTCCACTAGACCAGGTTGCTGAAAGCCTCATCCAGCCTGGCCTTGAACAATTCCAGGGATGTCATCTCAAGGAGAAAATCACAGTGAAAGATGTAATTTATTTAGCTTTGAAAAGTTTAAGTATTTGTTTAGAAAACTACATAAACTCTCAAACACCTGCACCAGGGGAAACATTTGTCACTGACTTTGGCCATGATCACCAACATCTTTTAGAGATGCCACAATTACAAGCATCCAGCTTAAGCGTAAGCAACACACCCACGGCACTGCTGACAGCGTTCTACTGAACTGTGTAAATGCGTTTTGCACAAACCACGCTGCCCATGGTGTCAGTTTTTTATGAAAAAGTGTTAGGACTGTCTATGTTCAGAGTTAGAGGCACAACAACTTCGTGTAAGAATTAACCAAATCCCAATTTCTGTGGCTCACATTTCATCTGAGATCTGAGAAATATTTTCTTTCCCTCAGCGAGTCACTAAGCTGATTACCAGATGTCTGCAAGTTAGCAGGTGCTAAATCTTAGTATCTTAAATCACAACATATTGTCCACTGATAATACTACTCAACCTAAAGTTTACGAGCATGCATTTTTTAATTTTTCAATATTGATTTTAGTTGCATTCCTAAATCACCATTTAGGAACTAAAATTAATAAATTCGCAGACTCACGGGTTTTAAGGTCCACAGAAAGGAGTATTATAATACATTCAACAGAGTCTAATTGGTCATGAAACATCCTACTTTGGATGAGGCCCCTGGGTCAGAGAAGATCTCTAGAGCTTTATACAGTGTCTGGCTTTCCAATGTGATGCTTCTTGACTCTACTTTTTATTGAATATGACAGTACTAACAATAACATCCAGTTCAAAAGTTTAGCAACACTTTCATTAAAAATTAGGTCCCAATTTCATCTCATGGTATCTTTTTGTCTAACTTCAGCTGGACACAACAATGTCTCCTATACTAAAGGCAGTTCTGTGATCAAATTTCCTCTTCCTTCATAAAGAATGTACAAAATTTGTTTTTATAAGCTTGTACTCCCTGAATTTATCACTGTAACATATGTGGATTATTTCTTCATCGTTCTCATTCTTGGTCCAGTTCCCAGGAATGTTGAGCTATTCCAGATGCTATTCTGCATTCTGAAATAGGTGTGCCTGTCCTGAAAATAATTCATCAAAATGTCCCTCCTTCAAGACTGAAATTCAGAAATTGAAATTGACCTTATTAAAGTGCAATCCAATTAATACTTCCTTACGGTTACCTGAGAATAAAAAGTGTTTCTCTGACAACAAAAGAAATTAATTAAGACTAATGAACGAGGGCTGCAGCGAGTACGGTAGAAACAATAAACTAGAGGTGGTAAATAGAGGCACTGCACACTCTGTTCTCTAAGCTACTTAACTCCTGGCAGTTTATAAGCACTTTTACCTCATTCCAGAAACATACCGCAAACAAAATTCCATTTACATTCAACGTAAAACTTAAGAAGCAGAAAATGTGCTTTTACAGCTCCCATTTTACAACACAACTAGGTGTCTAAGGAAAACTCAGAGCCTCGACCCTGACGTAAAGATGAAACAATCGGAGCCTTTCCCACTCGCGCACCATCGCCAACGCTACAAACTCTCCGCAGGCTCCATCTTCGGAGGCCAAGGCGGTTCTTACCTTGCTGCACGCGCTAGACCCTCTCAGCAGGGGCTGGGACTCCATTCTGAGCATGGGTTGAATTTGATTTCCTTTGCAAAATTTAGTAAACTACACTACAGGAATAAAAGGTGCCAAAGAAATTAAGTTATTCTTGCATTAAAACACCGATTTTTGCCTTCCACCTCTAGCCATTGGGATTCTTCTCAGTGGGTCACGACTTTCTCGTGACAGAAGCGTCCAGCTCTCAGAGAGGCGTACAGCAGCCAGAGAGCCTCCCCGAGCTCAGCACCACGCCAGGGCACCTTACTCGCCGAGGTCAGCGCACACCCCCGTCCGTCCCGCGCCGGCTGCGGCGCTCGGCACTGCGCG